TCTTGTGACATGGTAAGAAGAATGATGTGGCAGATTTCAAACCAAGTGTTTGACTCATCATATGGTTAAGGTTGAACATAATAGACCTATAGATCTGTTGCAGCCTCTTTCTACTCCAGAATGAAAGTAGGCGAAGATTGCAATAGATTTTACCATTGGCTTGCCAAAATCAAAAGAAGATCACAATGCAACTTGGATTGTAATTGATAAACTAATTAAAACCATTCATTTTCTACCAATCAAATAGAATTATTTGGCGCAGAAACCAGCAAAGATCTACATGGATAAAATTATTCAATTGCATGAAATTTGAAGTGTTATCATGTCAAATCGAGATGGAAGATTCATTTCAAGATTGTAGAAAAAATACAAGAATCTTAGGGTACGAGATAAATTTTAGCACTGTATTTCATCGCCAAATAGACGGTTAGTCAACGTGTGCCATTTAGATAATAGAAAACTTATTGAAAGCTTATATTCTTGACATTAGAGGCAGCTGGGAGGCATACATTTCCCTTGTAGGGTTTATCTCCAACAATATTTTTCAAGCTACCATCAACATAGCACCATATGAGGCTCTTTATGGAAAGAAATGCAGACCTATTATGCATTGGTTTGAGGTGCGTGAGAGGAAACTCTAAGGCATGAACTATTGATCAAGTTACCGAGATGATTCATCAAATTCAAGAAAAATTACGTTCAAATCTTGAGTGTTAGAGAAGATACATTGACCCTAAACATAAAGAAATTGAATTCAAAGTTGGAGATCAAACCCCATCAGGCTTAGCTGGGTTGGTGGGTGAGCATGGTTGGGAACCCCCCCAACCCATGTTCGATTCACCTCTCATGCGGCGCAACCTCTTAAATGGGGAGAAAATAACTGCAGGTCTTGCACCTATGAGGCTGCCTGTTGGTAGGCTCGCCAAGGGATTAGTTAGGCCACCATACGCCTCCTATGGAAGGTGGCAGCGGGTAGATACCCCAGTTCCCAAAGAAAAAAAATGGAGATCATATTTTCTCAAGATTTCGACCATAAGTTGAGTTGGAAAGCTTCAGCCCCGCTTCATTAGACCATTCGAGGTGATCAAGAGAGAGTTAACAGAGTTTCATATTGATAGGCCCCCTGCTTTGAGATGTGCATGAATGCACAGTATTTTTTACGTCTCTTTTCTTCAACGCTGTGTTCATTATGATTCTCATATTATTTAATTTGAGATATTATTGATTTAAGAAGAGTTAAGTTATGAAGAAGAAAAGGAACGCATTTTAGAGCATGAGGTTCAACAGTCAAAGAACTTTGAAAGTACCAGTTAGACTGAAAAGCAACTTGGGAGATTGAAGAAGAAATTATCAAAAATTAAGCGCCGTTATATGAAAAGTAAGATATGAATCTAGTGATTAAATTCTTTTAACGGGTAGTATGTAAATTGTAATGACTATGAACCGAACCCAACCTCAAATCGAATCAAACCACACAACCTCATACCTCCATGTAGCAACTTTAAAACCTCAACCCCCTAATCGCTCAAAAACTTCACATGAGGTCTCGCCCATTCCGATGCACAATTTGTGCAATCATTACTCCTACCATAACCACAATCTTTGTTCAAAATCTCGAACCTCTTCACCACCATAGATTCATATTTATGAGCATAGGATAGGGCATCGTAACTCTTCTCCCGTTTCTTCCTTCACAGCCACCAAGCTCTTTCCTACCAATTTCTCCCTCATAGATACCAATGGAGAACACTAACTTGTAGGCTAATCGAAGGCTTCCATCCTCCATCTGAATAAGCTAATCTTCATCTTCTTATTTTAATAATAAGCCAACAGCAAGTTTTCCTCATTTTCGTTCTTTATGTTCTCAATCTTCCGTGTCTTATGAGTTTATAATGCACTTTTTAGCGCAACATTCTCAGAAGAGCACTTTTCTCTCCATAGGAACTCCTTTGGTTCATCATCATCAAGCATTGAAAAGCTTATGGTATTTTTTCCTTCTTTTATTATTCTTTTATTGTAACTCCAATTGAAATTTTATATTTACAACTAATAATGCTAATATTAAATTTATACCTTATTAATAAACTTTAGGATGGGTTATTATATATTAAGTTTAATATTAATGGTTTCATCCCTTGATAATCATAGCTATTTATGTTTGACTTCTAGGTAATTTTTTGTAGACTAAGTTATAATTTTAGTCAACCTAGATGTTAATATTATTTAGATGTTGTATAATAGATTGGAAGAAATCACGTTTTAGTTCATAAGATAAATCAAATCCTTGCAATAACAATAATTTATTAAGCTCAATAGTGGGATAATTATAATTATTTAGGATGTGCCTGATCCACTTACACTAAGTTTCTAATGTCTTTATTTGCATTTTAAGTAATCAATTGAAGTACACTTTGTATAAGGCATTCGAGTTGAGTTTCACCCGGCATCATTCAAACAGACTCGGATCCTCATGCTGCTCGCTTAGAAATGCAACTAATATATATTTCAAGATAAATATACCCTTCTATATTAGGGCACGTTATCATTGATTTTTGTTATAGATTCCTAAATATTTTATAGGCATTCAAGTTGAGTTTCACTTGGCATCATTCAAATAGACTCAGAGTTTCATACTGCTCGCTTAGAAGTAAGCAACTATTGTATATTTGAAGATAAACATATCCTTCTATATTAGGGGCACTATCATTGATTTTTGTAATAGATTCCTAAATATTTTATAGGATTATCAATCCTTCCTTTTTACTCTAGTTATTTATTATGCATATGCTCGTAAAAATAATATATTTACATGAATAGATTTACCTTGATTTATTATTGCATAAACTTCTGTAGATTGAATTGATTCATATAATATAGTCTATATAGATATATTTTTCATGCACAAATTTCTACTAAAAGCAATAAGTCTTAATCTTATTTCTACAAATCATATTGATCATAAACCTAACAATTGTCACATTACCATATAATATCTATTGTAACTTGCTTATGAAAAACATATAGATTGCATGCCTATGTGCAGTATTTTTTAGCTTAATAAAACTCTATTAGATACTAGCCAGCCTATGACTCTTTAGAAAATTATTGAATTTCCTGACGTTGGTATTTTCCTATTCGATTTCAAGTTGTCATGATAACCTACTATAAATATATAAGCAAATATAAATTAAACATGATTAATGATTGATCATTGATGTGCTATATTTTGAGAGTTATAATGATACCTAGTAAGGTTGTATGTGAGTATATTAGAATAGATTTATATTGACTCCAGTTTGTCATACACGCTTGTCATGAACATCATCATATTAAAATTAGTCCTAAAACATATGGCATGTTTAATTTATACATTTGTGAATCTTTCTTACATGGAATCTACAGGAGTGCATAGTGGACCATCGCCACAAAAGTAGGCTTATCAACAATAAAATCTAATTTAGTATTTTAAACTTTTACAATAGTCTACTTTATTTCCATTAGGTTTGGATAGTTTTGGTTTTGCAATTGTTTCTTTCAATTTCTCTTTTCAAATGTTATTGTTCCCACTTCATTGTGTACTCTTGTTATAATTTATATTAATGCAATAAAATATGAGATTACTTTATGTTCTCTTATGCATTTTGCTTATATTATTTGTATTTGAATTTTCTTTTTGTGAGTTCAAAACAAAAAAGGATTCATGTAGCCGACCCCACGTAGTGGGATAAAGGCTTGTTGTTGTTGTTGTTGTTGTTGAGCACAAAACGAGTTTCATATCTCTTCATCACATCTCGTGTTGTTGTGCTGTACCGCCTTCCAAACCAGAGGTGTGACACACGAGATAAGAATAATGGAGATAAATGAGTTCAAGGAAGACAAGCAATATAGTAGCATACAGGGGTGTAAGCCGAGCCGGATCTCTAGCCGACTCGAGCTCAACTCATTAACGAGCTCATGAGTCGAGCTTATCGAATCATGAGTTCAAATTCGAGCCTATACTTGAGATCGTATATTAAACGAGCTCGAGCTCGAGCTCAATCTAGCTCAACTCAAAAGCTCATTAAGTTGGTCAATTAAATTAAAATATATTTAAAAATTAGTTTAAATTAATATTATATAACATATTTTAATATTTAAAAAAAATCTTTAAAAAATTTATTTTTTTATTTAAAATTAAGAAATTGAGCTCAAAAATCGAGTCAATCTCGAGCTTTCCAAAAGAGCTCAAGCAATCAAGCCTAGCTCAAGCTTGTAAATTTTTTAAAGAGTTAAGCTCGACCTTAATAAACTAGCTCGAGTTGAGCTCGAGCTCAGTGAGAACTAAACAAGACTCGACTCGACTCGACTCGTTTACACCTTTAGTGACATCGAATAGAGTAATTGAGGGCATCCCAACAAGAAATTGATAAGAATGCAAGTAATTGAGAGCAGCTGCAAATGAAGGGTATACGACAAGAAGTTATTGGAATCGAAGTGAGATGAAATTGCATTTGGATGGGTTTAGTGTCAGACTAGTATTATCTCTAGCTTGGGTTTAAAAAACCTTTCTTATCAGACTCGATCAAACTCCCAAAAACAGACCAGAAGCCTAACATTGAAATCACAATATTGACACAATAGGGACAGTTCACACCAGCATTCAAAATTTTATGTTTCTGACTACCATAACATGCATGAACCACACAAAACAAACTAATAAGTGAAATAAGCTAACACAGTAGCCATCAATGCTCATCTGAGTAATTAATTAGAAGTTCTAAATCGTAGTTTCTATCAAATACTCCAGCAATAAAATCACCTTAAGTAGTTATAATTGCTGTGTTTAAAAAAACTTTCAATTACAGCACGGCTTGAAGAATCAATATGTAAGGTGTCCTCACAAACTCCATCATTGTTTTCAAGCAAGAACAGTAAAACCAAATTGCAGGTGATGAGGTGAACTATCCCTAAGTAAACTAAACAAAGATAAACCAAGCTAAGCAATTTAAGCAACAACTTACCCGAACAAGCTGGTAAACCACAGGATTGGAAGCTACAATGCCGTCCGGCTCACCATTCTCAGTTGACCTCCTACCCACCCCATCCTCATCAACTAGCGCTCCCATCCACAAGTCCAGTACCAGCACTTCCCACCAATGGACATGTCAAAAAACCAAGGGCAAGGTTAGTTCTACTATAATAATATCTACGAAAAAGAAAACTTACAACCTCTCCCCAGAACAATCCGCACTCAACCAACTTGAAATCGATTCGCAACTTCAAAATGAAAATAGATTTCCCAAGAAGAGAAGAACCACGACAGAATCATAAGAAAAAGGAAACGCAGTTGAGAATTCATTGTCAAAATCGCCAAAAGAGTCAGTAGGTCAAACACTTTATTATAAAGAGAAACCCTAATTCCATTCCCCAGAGCAATCACTCTCATCCAACTTGAACTTAATTCGCAAAGTCAGATTCAACATAGAAAACTTTAGAATGACACATATCATGATTACCCTGGAGAAAATATTCATCAAATGTAAAGGTATTGGAGAATTCATTGTCAAACTCACCATGAAAATAAGTAGATTAAAATCTGACTACTCCCGCATTCCACGGCTGCTCGAAGAATCGAATGAAGCGGAGAGGCAGAAACTGACGAGAGGAGCAAAAAGAATGGAAAAAGAAGAGAGCTGGATTTGATTTGAACGGATTGCGAAGAGTGGGAGATGAAGGGACTAAATGAGCTCGTTCGGAAACGGAAAAGCAAGGGACGAAAGACCAGGCTTCGACGGTGGATATCACATTTTGGGATAATTGGACGGACATGATGAAATGATATCCCAATATTTCCACAAGCAGATAGTTGTTCTATGTTTTTTAGTTAATCAATAATAATAAGTGAATAGTAAAATCATATTTTAACAAAATAGAATTTTTATTCTTCATTTAAAAAAAAATCATTCATTTAATATTTACTTATAATTCTTAGTATTAAAATGATAATTAATTGATAAATGGCCAATGCAAAAGTAATTAAGATTTAATTATGACCATTCATGATTATCATTAATATTTAAATTATCATTTAATTAAGCATATTAAATTAAGGATATGTATTTATTATGTTTACTAAATTATTAATTATAATTTCAAACTAAGATCATTATGATTTCAAATATTAACTAAATATGATTTTGATCAATTATATATATCATATATATTATATTTAACCTAAGAAGTTAACATATAATCATAGAATAATTGGTGTTTAAATAATATGTTGTTAGGCTAATATCGACTTGAATAGATTAATTGTGAATTAAATATTAATTCATGCTAATATTGAATTGAATATACTACTTTATTTTATTTTATTTTTTATTTTCAAACTTTTCTATTTTACAAAAAATTGTTTGGTTTAATTAATTATTTTAAAATAAAATAAATTCATAAGTTTCTAATTAGGTTATTGCAAAAGTAAAGCATCTTTTTTATTAAAGTATTTTGGCTTTTGGGTCAAAATTTTATAATTTATAGATTAATTTTTAGTGTTTTAATTTACCATATGGAATTTATAATAGGTGGGATAGATTGATTTAAGTGTTTAAGATTGGTAATAATTTTTTTTGTTTTGTTATTTATAGTAGCAATTTGATAGATCACCTTCATAATAGAATCTATATATAGTGTTTCTTACCATTTATAGAATATGGATATTAGAGGTCATCAATCTTGTGTTTATATAGGTTTTTTTAATGAATGGAAACATGCACACATTTAGAAATTTTAATTAAAGACAATTTTTTTACGTGGAAAATCTAAGAAGGGGAGAAATCATAGGGTCTGGCCTAGTTGTAATAATCCACTATATAATTATAGGTAAAAGAATCTAGTCTTCTCCATAATTGAAGAACACGAGCTTGCACAAATTAAAAATAATTCTATTATTTTTGTTGTAGGAATTATATAAATTGAATGTCCGTGGGAAGACAATGAAAGTCCAATATGTGGTTATATGTTAGTAGTCAAGTGACAATAGTAGAATGAAGGAAGCCTGGAGACAATAGCTGTGATTATTGATGGTGATTGCTACAAAATATAATAGAGCTCTTTGGCGATATCAACTATCAAATTCTCCCTCAAGTAGAAAATGAAGCCCTAATTATTTTTTTGTTGAGAGGAGTATTTTGATAAATTTTTGATAAATTTTCTTATAACCCAAAATACTCTATCAAAGTATATACATTGATCTCCTCCATTGTATATAATTTATCCAATATTTGAGTCTCTTAATAATATGATAATCAAATGATCTGAGGCTTGTTAGGCTTGTTTCATCAAGCCACTATTTAATTATAAGCATGTGAGATTTGGAGATCGTTTGGTCTAATTGATGCCTTGAAACTTCTAAATATGCTTCAAATGCTTTGATTTAGATTTGGATATCGTTTGGTCTAATTAATGCCTTGAAACTTTTAAATATGCTTCAAATGCTTGATTTGAGTTCATTTGAACTCAAATTGGATCACTCAAGGTGTCGATATGTTTGTTTTGCCGAGACATTTACATTAACTATAAGTTTGTTGAAATCAAAGTTTGGATGTTCATGATTTTAATTCTTAAATATTCGGAAAACATTACAGCCCAAAAGTATCATTTCGAAAAAATCATGAAACCCAATCACTCTCTAAACATCAACATGAACCTCTCTTTGATGATATAAATTATGTAAAATCTCATTAATTATAACTTCAACAATTCAAGAAACTGGTATGTCTACTGGAGCAAAAATTATTGAAAATTTTAACTTCTGAATTCTTCAAATCTGTTTAATATTTATCGTAAAGACATTTGTTTAAGATCCAAAAGTATTTAAATTTAGTCTAAGATGCCAAAAACTAGTCTCAAGGACCCCAAAAATATTTAAATAAACTTATTCAAGCCCAAAATTTGGCTAATATTAGGCCGAGCTAGCTTGAACGACCAACCATCATTTATTAGTGACACCAAACTCGCAAGCCCCTGTTGGCATAAAGGGTGCATTGCCTCATAAACAAAGGTGTCATTTGCACCTCTTTCATAGGCACATGACTCTTTTCTTATAAAAAATAAAGTTTAGAATGTTTTTACATTTTTTAAAACATTTTTTTTATAGTTTTTCATGTTTTTGAATGTTTTTTCTCCCTTTTTTTTGTAGAAAAATCACAAAAATTTGTAACTTTCCTCTCTCTTCCTTTCAAATATAAATGCCCCTCATAGGGGAAAACTTTTTTTATCCTCTCCTCTTTGTAAGCTCCAATTCTTTCTTTTATGAGAGGTTTTTTACTATATTGATATTGTATATATTGTGTAATTTTCCCTTCAGTGTCTCTAGCAAAATAATATCCATGATATATGTTGCATATCCCTCATACATGTTATAGTGTTCCTCCCCCAAGAGTAATGAATTTTTTCCTTCTGATTTGTGGAAAAATTTCATATATCTCAAATTCTTTTTTATAAGTTTTGGTTTCACCTCCTAAAAGAGATTCAACATTGTCATGCATGGGCAAAATAGTCTTTTATTTACAAGCATTAGTATCTTTTTGTCATTAGTATCGAATTATCTTATAGGTAGAGTTGTGGGTAAGACCCAAGATTTTCAATTTTTATGATGGAGCTATGATCTTGGTCTTTAAAGAGGGTTGACTATCTCTATTTCAAGAGAATATGACTAAAAAATTTTAACCTTATTTTGAAACTCCAATTCTGTTTCTATGGGGAGGTAATTATTATCAAAATTTATTACAACGGTAATGATGTAAAAATGCTATTGATGAAAGTACTTCAAACCATAAAGTTAGGCTTTCAGCTTTATATTAATGTATAATGTTAATATTGATAGTACAAAGTACCAATATTGATATTGAAACCATTAAAATTATTTGATATTTGTTGAAGATAAGATAAAATTTGCATTATCCCATCAAACTTTAAATTATTGGAGGTCATTTTAGGTTTGAACAAACAAATGATATGAAATTAGTATAATAATGTATATATTGTATTATAAGAATATTATAGACATAAATACCTAATTGGTCAAAGTAAGATCATTTTCCCTTGGGTTCTCCAAAGTCATCTTGAATTGTCATAGGGCTTAGTTAAGGGTAGTGTAATGTGAAACCATCTAAAGGCACACTATGAAGACAAAAAACTTAACCAATTGGGCTATGTAAGGGAAATGTGTGAGTTCACTGACTTACTAAACTATGAGGTTCATAGTGTAATTTAGGTGAAATGATTTATGGCATTCCCAATTTTGTTTTGAAAAAGATTTAGTGGTGTACCCTAAAGCTTATTAGATTAAAATTGGGTTAAGATTTACTAAACTAAGTGTAACAACACAAAAATATCAAAGGTGTTAAAAAATTGAATTATTGTTTGAACTATAATATAGTGGCACTGTGCTCTGTAGCACAGTGGCACCAGAAAATACTGTTGTGACGCTTGAGTCTCTATTCTATAGAAATTATGTATTTAACATGCAACACTATGGCACTAGTTCTAAGCGTTGTGACGCTAGGCCACTTAATTAAAAAATTAAAATAAAGTAAATTCATATATTTCTAATTAGGGTATTGCAAAGCATCTTTTTTATTAAAGTGTTTTGGCTTTTGGGTCAAAATTTTATAATTTATAGATTAATTTTTAGTGTTTTACTTTTCCATATGGAATTTATAATAGGTGGGATAGATTGATTTAAGTGTTTAAGATTGGTAATATTTTTTTCGGTTTGTTATTTATAGTTGTAATTTGTTAGAACACATTCATAATAAATTCTATATATAGTGTTTCTTACAATTATAGAATATGGATATATCTTGTGTTTATAATAGGTTTTTTAAATGAATGGAAACATTCACACATTAGAAGTTTTAAAGACAATAATTTTTTTTATGTGGAAAATTCATGGAAAAATCAGAGGGTCTGACCTAGTTGTAATAATCCACTATATAATTATAGGAATAAGAATCTAGTCTTCTCCATAATTGAAGAACACGAGCTTGCACAAATTAAAAATAATTCTCTTATTTTTGTTGTAAGGATTTTATAAATGGAATGTCCACATGAAGACAATGGAAGTCCAATAACGTAGTTATATGTTAGTATACGTGGTAAGAGTATGATGATGTAAGTCAGGAGACAATAACAGTGATTATTGATGGTGATCGCTAGGAAATATAATAGAGTTATTTAGCTCTTTCAACTATCAAATTCCCCCTCAAGTAGAAAATGGAGCCCTAATTAATTTTTTCATGAGAGGAGCTACTATTTTGATAAATTTTCTTGTAATCCAAAATACTCTATCAAATGATATCTATTGATATCCTCCATCGTCTATTATTTGTCCAATAATTGAGTGTCTTAATAATATCATTATCAAATGATCTTAGGCTTGTTAGACTTATCTCATAAAGCCACTATTTGATTGTAAACATGCGATATTCGGAGATCGTTTGGTCTAATTAATACCTTGAAACTTTTAAATATGCTTCAAATGTTTGATTTAGATTTGGATATTGTTTGGTCTAATAAATGCCTTGAAACTTTTAAATATGCTTCAACGGGTTGATTTGGGTTCCTTGAAGGCCAAACACATAAGAAAATAACAATATATAAGATAAAATTCTAAACAAATACTTATATTGCATTATAATCATTAAATAAAAATTATAAGCTTTGCATTCTATTATATATTTTTCGATAAGGGTTTGAATCGAAGTAGTTGAAGAAGAGCCAACCATGATGCCATACAGAGATAAAAAAGAAAAAAAAAAATCAACCTGAGCACTCTGATACCATGTTGAATTCCTACATCCTTCAGAGGATGAAAACCACAGAACTAAGGGGTAAAATATGAAGTAAAGAACGGGAAACAAGCTGTCTTATGAAAGTAAGGAGCAGTCCAATATAAAATGGCTTCTGCAATTGCGATTAAGCAAGTGCATAACTAATTGGTGGTATTAGAGCAATTCATGTTCAAGAGCTTTATAAGTTCATATAACCTGATTAGCTCCGTAATGAATTTTATTATTAATTTGAGGTTCTGAGATGCTATAAGCGTTAAAGCCATAACTCTGTATTTTGATACCATTTTAAAATATTAAGAATGTTTGAAGCTTTTCATATTGAAAACACTTTTTAAATCTATTTGGTCGCTCATTCAATTTCTTGAAAATAAAATCATAATTTGAAAGAGCTAAATTTATTAAACCTTTAAATTATAATTATAGGTTAATATTGATTTAAAATTTTACAAATTACCCATCATTGCTTAGCTTGGTTGGTGGGCGAGTACGATTCGCGGCAGCCTCTTCAATGGGGCCCAATCAAGTGCGGGCCAAGAGATTTCTGAGATGGGCACGTCTTCTAGGTCGGCCGATGATTAGTCACACCGCCAAGCACCCTTTTGAGAATGGTAGAAGGTGGATACTCGTTCCGCAAAAAAGTTACAAATTTTCTTAAAAATTAAAAAATAATAACCGTGTTATTAATAATCTCTCCAAGCTTCTAGTAACGCCAATATAATTGGTGAAACAGAAGCAGCTTAGATCAACAATCACCGGTACAATAGGTGGAAAAAAAAATATCCACGAGAATTTTGAACAAAAACTGAATAGTTTACTGCTCCAGGCTATTTTCAAGCACATATGTGCAGGTTTTTTTTTCTAAGAAATAGAAGTTATTTTGCTGATCTCATCAACCAAGAAATGATTCTATCTAAAAAACACTCGGATAGAGCCTCTAGGTTAGAGCAGAGATGCTGAACTGAATACCTGTCTTTGCTCTGTCATGCTCAAATTGCCGCAGGATGTAACAATAGTTTACCTGAAACAAGAAACACATGTCAAAATAAGGCTTCTTTTGGGACATTTAGGTCATTTAAGGCAAACTTACACACAAAGCATATACAGAGACTCGAATCCAAAACCTCTTAACTAGAAGCCTAAGCTCACAACCGACAGGCCAAGGTGAGCTGTGTTGGGATGACTTTCTTACTGCTTCTTAAAACAACTTTATAGTACTAAAAAACTGCTTTAAGAAGCAGTAAGAAAGTCATCCCAAATGAGGCCTAAATCGTAGTCATTACGATGGCTATCAAAGATACACATTTTCATATATTAGAAAAGGAAATTGCAGAGAAGTAGGTTGAGAAGACCTCCATGCGGAAAAGCTTGGTAGGAACTATTACACCAATCCCAGCAGAGCTCCGAAAGTTCTTAGCGAACTGGCGAATTGAAAAATCTTTGATAGAACCCTCTGATAGTTTTGCCAGATTCCCGGCAGAAATGAATGCGTGACCATAAATCCCAGAATCTCTAAGCACCTTGAGAGGCAAGTTGAAAGAAATATCAGCAAACGCAGTTACAGCTAAGTCTCCCCCTAGTGCATCCCATCCAGGGCTTGCTGGGGGATCACTGGTCTGATCAGTTCGGCTTGGAATCATCCTCCGTAAGTCAGTGGGGCCAAGCCCTCTCATATTGAAGCCTAACAATGAAGTGGGGCTGCCCAACAAACACAGGGGAGAAGAGTTTCCACCGATATGGAACCTCTCTGTCAAAGGCGTGGGCAAGGTCATGAATCCATTCCCCCATGGCATTATTACACCAGCAGCAACTCCAATATTTAGAGCAGTATGAAAGAATCCCAAGGGAATAGCAGCACGGAGATCGAACTCCTGTTAGAAATGGACAGCACGGCAGAATAAATTAGCTTCTTAAGGTACAGACGGACAAATATATAGATTTGAATGCATATAGGCATATGGCGCATATGGTTCAATCCTATCAGAATTTCAAAGTTTCTTTTCCACCCGATAAGAATTTAATTTGGCCATAAAATATTATCAACTATTGATTTTCTGTTACACCGGTCCAGCCAGTCCGACGGGACCGGCATATGCGAACACAGAGGCGGGTTTCTCCGCCTCCTGTAGGCACCGAACGCACGCACGACGTGCGTAGGCTGTTTTAGAGAGATTTCTTGAAGGAGTTAGGAGGGAAATTTGAATGTAGGGATTGTTTAGAGATTTCATTTTGATTTGTATGCATTAAATAGTTTGTTTCCCTAGGGTTAGGACATCTTGAATTTGGCTGAATTTTGAGATCTCTAAGTTTTAGGTTTTCTTTTGGGCTCTATCGGCGTCTAGAGATTTGGGAGAGATCGGTCCTCCTCTCAAATTGAGGATCAACTTTATCTTGCTATTTCCCGTTTCTATTTCATCAAATAATACAAAATATCTACTGTTTTTCCTGTTTTGGTGTGGATTTTTGTGGAGAATTCTCGCTCTTTTCCGAAGATTGATAGGAAATATTTGAGATCTACAAGTGTTTCCTATCATTTTCATCTACAACATAAAAAATGGAGAACGTAACTTTCTAAAATATGATGGTTTTTAGTTGGATCTTAGGCTAAAGAAAATAATGACTCACTCAAAGGATGCCAAGAACTCGTATTTCAAGTGAACATGAAAATTTAGTTCAATATAAGTAACTTGATACGAAATATGAAATATGGTAGCACCACAACTACTTAGATTGCATAAACGATCTCCAATGAAAAATACGAGCATGCTTGAACAATGATAAAAAAACTATAGAATCATATATATTTTGGTTCAAGTTTTGATATTAATTCAGATGTGAAGCATAAAAAATATTTTAAGAAAACCAACACATTTAATGGTCTTTTCCTTAACACTGATCCAAAGCATCTCCCTCTCTCCTTCCCTCTAATATACAATTGAATGCATTAAAAAGTTCATGATTGCATGAGAAGATAAATGAGATTTTAAAGCATAGAATTCCATTCTTATAACTAAATATGTGGGTCGTTGGCAATACTTTGAGTGCTTCTGATGATTTTAATTTGTGAAATATAAGATAAAACTAAACTTTTGCACAAGCGGATATATACGTCATCCAATCATTTTATTCACAGTTTGATGGAATAAGATTAGAGAGAGTCGCCTTAGATGATTTGGTCACATAAAACGGCGGCCTTCCGATGACACGATTAGGAAAGTAGAGGTATTAGATTTGACTTATGTTAAAAAAAGCAGAGGTAGACCTAAAAAGACTTGGTTGGAAAATATTAGAAATGATCTTTCTTTATTAAATTTAAACGAGAATTTGACTTTTAACAGGACACAATGGAGAAAAAGAACTCATGTAGCCGACCGCACATAGTGGGACAAAGGCTTGATGTTGTTGTTGTTGTTGTTGATGAATGATTAAACTATTATGAAAATTAATGAAGCTAAATTTCTAAGTAATTTTATGTTACAGGTAACAATATAGAATGTGATCATGTGTTTGAAGAGCACATGGAGTGAAACATGTACCAATAAAATTAGGAGGAGAATGGTGACTATGTTCATAGGAGGAAAATGTCCACTCATATATATGTATTCCATAAACTTAAAAGACCCAAATAGGAAGATGGATAAAATTTCTTAAACTCAGTATGATTAAGGATAAAACTAAAAGCAGTATTATTGTTAGAATTAAAACTGAGACTTTAAGAATAAGTATGGTGTAAGGCCACTAACTTACATACACCTACTAACAAAAACTGAATATTATTACATTAATCCCATAAGACATGTATTTATCCAAAATAGCTTGAAATTAAATGTTTGATTATTTTTAATGCCAATTGTTCCTAACTGTAAAAACCGATAGTATACAGTGTGGTGCAAATCAGATGAGTTAGGGCACTTAATCATTAGAACTCATAAAACCTATACGTCATATATATTTTCTTATGATCAGGTATGCATAAAGCCCATAAAGTTATCACATAGAAAATTCTACCAGGCGTTGACAAAAGGAGTTTGGGGGCTTCTGACCAGGGTTGTGGCTCAACATGCTGCCAACCACAGGCCAGTTATTCAATGGGAGGAAGCCTGACCAAATACAATTCTACAGCATGCCTTTGAAGAAGATTCCACAACATTCAAGTGAGGAGGTGGATGGGCCTAAAAACTGGCGTTATATATCAGCCTTTGAAAAAGACTTTACAGAAGTCAAGGTTCATTTGTAGAATGCTATTCTGTCACATTCCATTCAGTAACATTTTCTCCGAAAACCTTGCATTTGTTGGATATCAAAGTCTCTTGTCATTCATCATCATTAACTTCATATACAACCCTTGCTAAGGCTACTCAACAATTTTTTTAATAAAAAGCACTTCCTTTCATCATTATAAAACTATTCAGAGAACTCTAAGCAGTCTAATATTTAAGGAACAATAGGTTAAAATTTTAGTAGAGTTATCAGGACATAAAGTATCATAAGTAGTTTCTAAATTTAAGACATCACAGAATATAAAGAAAAATTAGTAACAAAACATATATGTTTCGAAAGCTCCTCAGCTCTCCATTATCAAAATTAATGCTATCATAGTAAGCTCTTTTTTTACTGCAACGTAAGGGGTTATTGAAATAAAAAACACATTTAAACTGCTTTTACAGAATAAAGAGTCAAGCACATGCCAACTAGAAAGTGGTCATACCTGTCTTATAAACCTCAAAAGATTACTATCATGTCCAAGACCGCCAATTTGGGATGTAGAGAGAAAAGCATATCCTTTCATAGGCCTGATACTTGAATTTCTCCTGTCGAGCTTATATGAATACTTTAGCGAGGAAAGAAGACTATGTCCTAGCTGCCTTCTTACTGATACAGATGACATGCGTAAGGGGTCCGTTAAGTGACGCCATGTGAGATTATAAGCCAATTCATGACGTATTGTAGAAACCAACCCAAATGAAAGGCCAAGCAGACGCTCTTTATAGGATGAAAACTTCAACCAATCTTGAGTAAGGAGTGTCACACGGGCAGTTATAGGAGTAGATAGTGCCTTAAATCTGGGTAAGGACAGCCCAGCACTCATCTCAGTTGTATGGTCCAAACTGTATGCACCTGCAGCATTCCAGATGTCACCATAGCCAAACACGTTCCTTAACTTAAGTAATCCTTCAATTGACCAACCTCTTGTCTGCAAAATCATATCAACTAAACAAATTCAGATAGTAAAACACATCCAGAATAAGCCAAACCACTCCTTATGTAAATATTAATTAATTAAAATATAAGATTTAATATATAGACTTTTTCGAAGTTAAAATAGCTCACACTTTATGTGGAATGTTAACCAGATGGTAAAAAGGTGGCTCTGTATAGGTGGATTGGTTGATGAAGATGATAATTAGGGAATCTTTCTATGTTATTAGAGTTGCATCTTACAAGCATCTCCCAAAGAAAGCTTCTAGACCTCCCAAAGAAATTCACCCAGTTCAAGCGTCAAGACTCCAATTGGCTCCATGTATAATGCTGGGGGCTCTTGTGGTCATGTTCTCCACTATATATGGAAAGAAAGCTATATGCGTATCCATAAGTGGAGTCTGAGGGTGTTGAATTTGAAATGCTCTAAACGAGGGAAGTTGATGATCTTAAGTGATTGAGAGAGAAAACACAAGTGGCAAGAGCATTTATAGTATAGTATCATGCATGGTCATATGATAAGATATGATCAACTTCTCTTTTAAGGGAGGGTGGTTCAAAGAAATTAAGCTCTCTTTTTAGAGAGGGTGCTTAAATATGAATTATATAATTGCACTTTTTCTAGGAGAGAGTGGCTGACGGGCACCGCAATGATGATTTTGGTTCAAATTTTGCAAATAAAATGGGTTGATGGGCATTAAATGATATGAATGACTAATGACCATATGCTATTTGATATTCAAATATTAAATGAAATAATTCATAAATGCAAATGGAATGAACGAGAATTTATGAGTTAATATAAATTCCCTTACATGCCATACTTGGACGGCTACATGAGCTAAAATGATTACATAATTTTGATATGTAAATATTATATGATTTAAATGAATGAACTTGTGATTGTGAAAGAAAAATCAAGCATGGCATTATCATAGTGATATAATACCAAGACTGAGATGACATAACATGGCATATCATAGTACAATAAATAACACCAATGACACTCTACTTATAATTCATCAATTTATACTTTGCCTATATCATGTGATAAGAGTGAGTGAATATGGTTCCTTGGCATGCATGCTACTTTGCTTGCGTATATATGAATACTATGCTAAAGTATTGATGTTCTACTTGGCTTATTGCTCACCAAAATATGTATTTGCATTTGTTACTTCAAAGCTGTTAAAAGTGTTGTAGAAGAGTATAGCAGTAGAGTAATATAATATGTATTGAAGATAGAGGTGTTACGATATTTTTTGGCTTCTACATTATACAAATTTATTCAATAAAATATGTGTATTTGGAAGCATTATTAGACTTCCACATGTTTTTGGATGTTAACATAAAAGTCCCAAAGATTTAGTGTCTCTATGTGTAAGTATCTGATGATGAATCTATAATACAATATTAGATTTAATAATGAAAATCTATGTTTGACTTATATGGACTTTGATGTTGTGATTAGACTTGCAACAATTGGCTTTCTACAATGATTACCTTTTATTAAATTTCAATGATTCTTACCAACTTGGAATGTGGCTGTTGATCTTATCTTCTAATTTTACTGATAAAAATTAAGAATTTATGAACTATTAATTTAATTTATATATATGATTTTGTGCATCTCATTGTAACTCTACATTAGAGAACCCTAGACCTAAGACATTCTGCAATATTTGATATAAAACATGTACTTAAAAGAATAATATTTTACATTCTTCAATTATAGAGACCAACTACATTAGTAATTTAAAATTTTAACCAAGGTAACAGTAATGTATTTGAATATTTTCTAAGGTTAGAATTTGTAGCCAAATAGTATTGGCCTTTGGATTATTCTATTATAAATATTTGTTTCATTAAAAGCTTTTGGTAAAAAATAAGAATGAATTAAATTAAATTCTGCAAACATAACAAAAGAGGCATACTATGGATCTTTAAGAGCTTGAATAAAATTACTTTCACATGTTGGAATCACTGCACTGCACATGCATTTGAATCAGATGGTCACAATCAAGGTGCGGTGATTCCACCATGATTGATTATAGTTTTGGTTTAATTAGTTGATGTGATAAAAAAAACATTTAGTTTATGTTTTTAAGGTCATGTAAATATTTTCCTAAAATTGTTCATCATTTAAATTATTCAAAACTTACCTTGACTAGGGAAATTTTATGTAGTGCTAGAGCCCTTTGTTCAGTAACAAAAAGGATTCTTAAATTTATTATGATGGATAGGATGCATATTGGATTGTTTTCATGTCCTTTACAAGTTTCTTTAAGAATTCTTTGACACTCTCGATCTTACTCAAACTCCCTCCCGTATCACCTCTCTTGAATTATGCCACTCACAAAGCTCCATCTCTTATGCAATTTCTATCTACTCTTCCCTCTATCGCTCATCTCCCCGCTCTCTTTAGTGCTCTATATCACCTTTTGTCCCTCTCATAATTTCTCTCTCATAACTTTCTTCCCACTCTACTTCTCTCTAGACTTTATTCTCTCCCATCTTCTTCTATCTCATCGCTCCCCCTCTTACTATATTCTAATTCATGCAAATTCTCTTCTTTTCCTTCACATAAAACTCCCACCAATACTGATAAACCATAATTCAAAAATCTGAAGTACACATCTAATTTTGGTCGGCTATATTGATGTAGTTCAAGCCTCATTTCACTCTTTGTTACATGAAAATTGCCCATTTTTAACATTGCCAAAACCTAAAAACAATACCCAATTACATTTATATCATCATTGTGATTCCTCCTACTTGCACGTTGCACCAATTTAGTATTAGAGGCCTAATATCTACAGATAAGTTCCACATGAAGTCCTATCTTTCTTCCACATGCCTCTGCTGTGATTTCTACCTTGCATTTCCATATTGTATTAATGTTTTGAGTACATTCAATTATTATCCCTGCAAAATCATATACCATTCACCTAGCATCACTCATGCTTTTGTTGTTTGCACCCCAAACAACCTTTGACAACCTTGCCTTGACATTTGCGACATCAAACCTTTTTAAACTGATTGATAGCATCATCCACCTATCTTTGGGTGGAAAATTATTTAACATGGCATCTGCACCCTTCCAAATAAGGAGACTTTTGTATTGCATCAGCTAGAATATTAAGATTCCATTCAAGAACAATTTGTGAAAAGCAAAGTTCTGATTGATGCTTCTAAAAGGCATAATCATTAGCATAAGAACCTGAATTAAATTTATGTTGATTAATTAATCTTGTGTCATAAGAAAGGAGATTTATAAGACTAAGGGTTAACAACATAATTGTTAAAGAAATCTATTAACCTAAGGGTTATGTACAGTTTGACTAAGTGTTCTGTATCCCTAAGGGCATGATTGGGTTATTGACATGAGGGCCTAAGAAGTTACGGTTTATGATTAAAATTTAACCTGAATTTAATTATTTAATATAAGTGTTGGTGATAAAAGAATGGAGTAGGGCTGAGTTAGAAAGTTAAGTGTGGAATTCAAGTTAAGTTCTTTAAAGGCTTGAGGTAGGAGGCTCTTAATATTTCATATGGAAAATGCCACATGTCATGTGCAAGTAATATGTAGCTTAACGAACATGTATGGAATTTTGTGGTAGAAAGATAATCCAGAGATCATAACATTAGGATGATCTATTATGTATATTATATGACCTTGGCTTATAAAACCCTTATGCCACAAAGTAGATAATTTATCCTTTATTTATAACTTTGCTTGCCTTTGTATGCTATCATGAGTTAGTACATGCAATAACATGAATCATGCTACCAGCTTAACTTTTTCTTAGGACTTCATATATTATGCTATAGTGATACAAATGATAAGACGTCATGATAAAGCATGAATATTTCTATGATTGATGAACCTAATGTTATGATGAAATGGTGGTATGCTTAATTATGCTTAGTCATGGAATTTTTTTTGTAAGCATGCTAGTTATATGAGGACGCATTACAAGAATAGATATAACATGATAAGCAAGATAAAAAAGAAAAACATGCCCGGAATAATGTAATGATATACTTAGATGCATAGTTAGCCAGGTATGGGGTCAAGATGGCTTGAGCATGGGTTGACAAGCCATGCGATTATGAGGCAATGATCTTATGACCTATACTATCATGTTGGTCTACCAATGTAGGGTTATAGTGGTGCATGCTGAAATGAAATAATCAATATGATAAGTTAGGCCTAGTAATATGAGGTCATCTGGGAGTTTAGAGTGAAATGGATTATGAGCTGGATAACATACCCTACGGTGGTAGAAATCCATTTGAGCTCGCTATGCCATTATGGCTAGGTTGAACCAAGAGCGCTATGGTGGAGGTTGACAATCTTACATCAGGACGATTTTAATATCAACTATATTAAAAAGAAAAGGATGGAAATAAATTCTGAAAATGAGAAGAGAATGATAATAATGGACAAAAAGTTAATAATGAAAAATTAAATTGATCTGAACTCGAATTTAATTCTCTTCTAAACAATTACGGGAAACTTCATTAATGTAGAAAGTTGGGATAAATAAGGTAAAAAAATAGTGATCAATATTACTATCAGACCTCACGTTAGTACTAGCAGCCCTTCATTTTGAAATAATGATTGGAACATTAAATCAAAGTGGTTTAAGTTCTAATATTATTTATTTATTTAGTGTGTCTTATGCATTTCTATTTTTGGTATTAGAAATTTTTCAAAGCTAATTTCTCGACCACATTTTTTATTATACTATCAAACATATAACCTTTCTAAATCAACTTACCAAATGCAAATTTTTGTTGGTTAATTTTTCCACACAAAAGCAATTTTTATTTTTTTGTTTTTTGTTTTTTTTAATTTGGTGGGGGTGGGGACAAATAGAGGGTTTGTAAGAGAAAGGTTTGACATTATTTGACTCCAAGAAACCTGGTTAACCAATCCTACATTTTTTACCCTTAAATCTATAATAGAAGAGAAGATTTAGAGTTGGAAATAAATGAATTCAAATGGTCAGTCAAAAAGTATTATTTGTAGGTTAATACTCTAATGTTGAGAGGCTCTAATTAGCCATTTTATTGATAGATTACCTATTTTAATTCATTTTAAATTGTGCAAATAGCACATGAATTTTATTCTCACCACTTTTTATGCTCCTTGTGACAATGAGGAAAATTTACTATTTTAGACTAAACACTATTCTATTGGCACTATGTGGTCTCTTCCTTAGACTTCGTGTAGGATTTCAATGATGTTATTTCTATTGAGGAGAGATTTTCTACAAGCTCCAAACCTCTATCAAATTTTCTTATTGATATAATCAGCCACTTGAATTTGATAGTCTTCCTCTGGTTGTTATAAAATATACCTGGTCTAATAATAGAGAGGATGAATTATTTACCAAATTAGATTAGGTCCTCATTTCACTAGTGTTGGTCAAAAAGCTCTAAACAAGATTCACTCTAATCATTGTTCAATGATTTTCAATATTAAATGTTCCCTATAATTAAATCTTTAAAATTTTGGAATCCGTTGAAGAAAAGGCTGAAGAAATAAGTGCGCATTTGGAGTAATAGGGTAAAGTTAAGCTTTGGTTGTACAAGAAAAGATGAAAAGAAAAAGAAAATTTACTGGTAGCAAAGATCTAAGGTTAATACGCCATTGTAGGGGGATAACAATATATCCTTCGATCATGTGTAGATAATGGTAAGAAAAAAATAATTATATTCATTATATTAAGAATGGCGAGACTTCATACACTCCCAAAATATATCTCTGCAGCTTGTACTAATTTCTACAAGAAGCTCCTCAACAAAAAAAAACCTTCAAAGTACATTAACGATATTAATGAACTTTATCCTTATGATTATTTATAGTTAAAAGATTCAAACTCTCCTTTCCTTCTTGAGGATATTGAGATTATTTCTCTCTTGGTGCTAACAAGTCTTCAAGTTGGCAGTTCATATGATTGTCCTGTTAATTTAATTAGAGAGTTATGAGGGAGACAAAGAAAAAAGATTTTGTGATTATGTTTAATTATCTAAAATTTGGCAAGGCTTACCATTTGACTCATTCCAAAGCATGACCATTGTGAAAATTTTAAGAACTTTACACCAGTTAGCTTCCTAATTGGCACTTATAAAACTTTCACCATGGTGCTTGCTAAAGTAATATCAAAATTCTTTTTCAATTTAGTTGATTTCCGTAAGGGAGCTTTCATTTAAGGAAGAGTTATCCATTGTTGCATCACTACAACACATGAACTAATTCACCCATGTCATAAAAAAAATAAGAAATATTTATTTTCAAGGTGAATTTTGAGAAAGCGTATGATTATTAAGATTGGAATTTTATTCTTTTCACTATTCCTAAAAGACAATTTCCTCATAAGTTCATTCCGTGGATAAGAAGGAATTTAATTCATGCAGTGCTTTATCATACATATCTATGATAAATTTAGCGTGCCTTTCATACAAAAATTTATTTCTTAATCCACACCACATTTGTAGTACTTGATCACTTGCCTTCTCAAGATAAATAAAAAGTATAAGAAGATCAATCAAGTTTTTACTTTCTATACTTTACAATTGTCTCAACAAAAAATTACTTCAATAATAATTCTACTTGGAAAGAAACGAAAATCAAGTCATTAATGAAGTGTAATTTTAGTAGCAATAGACCTAGTGAGGGGATTGTGACTTTGGGCGATCAATTCATTAATAAGAGTACACGTTTTAGATATCTTGGATCTATTGTTCAGAGTGATGGTGAAATAGATGGGGATATTATCAGCAGAATTCAAGTTGGATGGTTGAAGTGGAGCCGTGGAGGAATGCATCGGGCTTATTGTGCGATAGAAAACTCCTCCACAAACTTAAGGGAAAATTCTATAAGATGGTGTTGAAACCTGCAATGCTTTATGGTGCCGAATGTTGGCTATTAAAAGAGAAGCATAATACTAAGTTAAGTGTTGCAGAGATGAGAAAGCATAGGTGGATGAGTGACTTTACCCTTAGAGATAGGATATAAAATGAGCATATACGTGATAAGGTTGGAGTAGCTTCAGTGGAAGATAAGATTAGAGAGAGTCGCCATAGATGGTTTGGTCACATTAAACGGAGGCCTTCCGATGACCCAGTTAGGAAAGTTGAGGTATTATATTTGACTTATGTTAAGAAAGATAGAGGTAGACCTAAAAAGACTTGGTTATAAAATATTAGAAATGATCTTTCTTTATTAGATTTAAATGAGAAATTGACTTTTAACAAGACACAACGACGAAAAAAGGATTCATGTAGCCGACCCCACGTAGTGGGACAAAGGCTTGATGTTGTTGTTGTTATTGTTGGAAAGAAACCAAAATCATTCTTTGAAACTAGCATAATCTTCTAAAATTCCATTACTCTCTTTATAACTTCAATGTATGACTCATAAATTTAATTTCTCTATAGTAAACACAATTTTGAAGATCTCATTTATCCTTAAATATTAGTACCATTATACCATAATACTTATTTAACAATTATTTGACATCTTAGTTTTTAAAATTCTAAAGAAAAAAATGTTAACTAAACCAATATATTATCCCTAATAATTCTCAAAATCACAAGAAGTATCTACGCTAGACCCAATCTTTTACCTTTATGCACCTTCTTTTAAGTTAACTTGGTTTTTTTTGTTCAGTTTATAATATATCTTATTATTTTATTCATAATGTTCATCCTTAAATTTCTAATTAAATATTTCTCAAAGTAATATTTTCATTTTCAATTGACGTCTTCATCAGTAACTTAGATCCAGTGAAAATCACTTATAATGCATTTAGCTTGATCAAACTCTATAAATATATATCTCTTATCATTGAAATTCTCTATGCCTTCTTTTTAGCTTCCTTAGCACCAAACATATGATATAAATCATCAAATGTTATGGCTTTTTTTTTTTTTTGTTAACCACACTATTTAATCTAAATTTAAAAAGTTGGGAAACAATGAGATTGCTAACTATCAATGAAAAGACAGTGGAAAATAAAAACGACTCGTTTGGGCAAGCATAATGGATGACACAAATACACAGATGATGGATGGACACACAATAACTCAAATTAGGCCCAATCCACTAGTGGATGGACACACAATAACCCAAAAGCCTAAAGACAATTGGCAAGAAAGCGTGTTAATACATTAAGAGGTCAACTCTTTTTTTTTATATTTGATGTGAGACTATTTTCTACTCTACATGTGTTTACAATCTTTCCATTGCATGAATTACTCCATCTCATACAAATGTTCTTAAATACCATCAACACCCATGCATTGCTAGCCCACTTAACCACATAGAGCCTGCTTGCAAGCCATTAACTCTTAGATATGTCTCAACAATGATAGAAACCGTCAAGACTCATAAATGGGCACTGAAGCCAACCCATCATATCTAATAACTTTATTGGGAATGCAGAACACCAAGGGCCAAATTAAGCCTAGTATACTAGTGGATGGACAACCATCAACTTAAAGATAAAATCATTTAACAAGGGCCGCTACAAGCATATTAAGAACTTAAGGCATGTCTTCACTTTCGATGTATGATTTTTTCCTCTTATGTGTCTCAACGCTTAACAAACTAAGCTTTTCGCTGCTTCTATAGAATTAAGTATATATTCCTTAAAATTTTCTTAAACAGAAAGAAATTTACAATAGGAAGAATCGCATTAAATGTTTACATATTCTATATCCCCGGCAAGCAGCTAGTGAAACTATATATAAGCAGCAAATTCAACATATGATACCGATTTGCTGATGTTAATAAGTATTTATGCTAAATATTAACCAGTAAACATTCTTCTTTAGTTTCCTATCTCAAGCAACCCCTCTAAAGATTGATTGACAGTTGATACAAAAAAGGAAGAAAGCAAAAAAAGGTCAGCTACAGATTGTGCTTACCTCCGGCCTAGTGTAAAAGCCGATATCACCGCTTAGAGGGTTCTTGGGCTCAACCAAATCTATGATAACATTAACGGTGCCGGGAAGCTCAGAAGGCCCGGCGTCAAGGACGATACTGACAGAATCGAAGATTTCCAGCCTCTGGAGACGAGCATTGGCTGCGGTGGCGGCCTGGAGGAGCTCCTGCATCGTAGAGGCGGATCTGAAGACCGGTAGTACCTCGGCTTCGATTAGGGAATCTTTAGTCTTTGTATTTCCTTTGATAAGAACATCGTGGACACGAACCCTTACGGAGCCGGTGGCCAATCGGCGAAGTAGGTCGTTCATCCTTTCCCTATCGGAGGATCGACCACCTTCGTGGCCGCTGAGTTCTTCCTCGTCAAATTCTTCCTCCTCCTCCTCCTCCTCGTCCTCCCCCGGTTCATCTTCATAGTCATTCTGGGCATCTTCAAGCCCTTCTTCAATCTGTGCTCGAGGGTTTCGATTCACTGCCGCCGCTGATTCCATTTTACAGGGACAAAAGAGGTGGTTTGGTTTGCTTTGGTCGAGAGGGTATTTCGCGGAGGTCTTAAGCGCGGTTAGTGGCAGTGCAGTTTTCTTTTTGGCAAAGAGTGCTTCTTAACTCGAACAAAATCAATGAAAATTTTGTATTAGGATGAACTTGTTTATTTGACTGAATCTTATAATTTTTAAATTAAAAAAATTATACTCAATAGTACAATATATTATACTCTTTATCATTTGTATTTGATCATTTAAATGAAATGAGCCATAATTTAACCATATTTTTCTATTGAGAAAGCCTTGGCAATTTTATAAAAAACACAATAATTTGTCTCTATGAGAGAGAATAGTTTTTTTTTTCACAATAATGAGGAATAAATCATAAAGCATGTCACTCGCATTAATAATATTAAAATTTTAACTTTTTTTCTATAAGTGCTTGGTCATGAATAGTTTTAAGTTTGTTGCGTCATATAACATTCACGACTGTAGAGAAATAAAGAGCTTAGCATCCTATCTTTGAATGAAGATCCAACACATATATAAATCTAGAGAAAGGGGTGCAAGAGTTATAAGAGATCATAATTTTTATGTAGAAAATCCTAAAAAGGTGAAAAATTACGGGGTATGGCATAGTTAAAATGAATCCACTGGTGCTTTTTGTTGATTACAAATGATACATTTCCTCAGGGGAAGGCATTGACTCAATATATATCATATAGAGCACGCTAAATTATCAGGCGGAGGTCAGAAGGATCGTAACTATGCATTACTTGTTTGAAGTTGGAGGAATATGATGACAATAGATCTATTCTTAAGTGGACATTGGCCTATTTGTTTGGTCGGTAGGACTGTAGTCTCACAACCTGACCCAATATGATCTGATATCACACATGTCATACCATCCAATTATGACAAGACTAATCCTAAGATTTGGTCAGAGAATTATATCTTGATAAACTATCACATCACTAGGATCGCCCCTAAGACAAAGAAATGTACAAGTAATTAAAGAAAAATATGATGCTACAAAATAAGGGTAGCATTCACTCTCTTTATACTTTCTCTAGCATAACATTAAGAAATTTTCTAATCATAATCTTTCTCATCTTCATCATCATCATCATCATCTATAGGATTTCAATCTATGACCATTAACTTTGAAAATGTGAAAAAAATATATCTTGAATGTTTACTGCACCACATGAATGTATTTGAATAATAATAAATAGCATGGTCCATCCGGACTTAATTTTTACATGATAAAATTTATTTTGGGAATCAAAAAGCCAAACATTTTGACCAGGAGAAAATTTATAATTGAGAACCTTACACCCAAGCAATCTCTTCATTTCTACATTGTAAACCTGTATATATTTAATAACTTCATATATGAATCCTTTTAGTGTGCTAACAAAAGAAGAACTCTAAAAGTTCAAAGCAGAAAATGATTCTTCATTCTCATAGAGAAGTTCTTTCTTCTTTAATGCAGAATGCTTTCTCTTCTTTCCTCCATTCTTTTTGAAATCCCAAAACAATGAAGAACAAGCAAGAACACTCACCCATAAAGAATTCTAGAAAAGATAGAGAGAAAAAGAAAAGTGATAAAGAAAACTGATTAAAGTTAACTTTTTATAACTAAACAAGCCTGGTAGTTGTTGATACATACAAGCATCCCAGTTGTGGACAAATTAAATGATAATGTACCACCGATTTGATATTTAATATTTTTTTAGAAAAATTCGAATAATTAGTGTCAATTATCACAAGGAATAAACTAACACTCCTTTATCAAATTGAGTAAAGAAGTAATTTTATTTTCATATTCAAACTTGGCGAAGGGAATGTTAAAACTATCCCGAAGGATAAAATTTACATTCATCTATCATTTTAAATATGAATTTAATCCGTGATAGACTTTAGTCGAAGTCCAAAGATTTTTCCCTATCTCATTGAACTAAGACGGTTTATTTTATAATGAGATTTTGGGTTCTTATAGCGTCAAGCCCTTGCAATCAATTACATATCTAAAGAAAAAACTTTCGAATAAAGTGAAAATTACACTCATTTCAACTTTAACATATAAGAAAGTTGCCTTATATGTATATATTTTGAAAATACTAATTGTTCCTTCAAAAGTATTTTTAAATTTTTTGTTAAAAATATATTTGAATACATAATATTATTTTTATCATAGAATTGAGGTTTGCAAATACCTCTGGGCTTACGCCTGCTAAGAATGAGCTGCCAGCTAACAACCTAATAGGCACACAATCATCCTAGATATAATGCGATAAAGTTAGCTCTATCCTAAGAGATCAAAGGAATATATCAGACTCTAAATTGATGACACAATATGAGTAAATTGACTCTACGTTTAAGTGACATTATTGAGATGACTCGCTAAAACTCTAAGTTTTCTATTATTTAGATTACCTAGTTAAACTTTCTAACTACCAAAGTTTCTTAAAATTTTGGATAGCATAACGACACTATACCAACAAGAAGAGCATATTATCACCCTTTGTGTAATGGGGACCCCACTACCTTGCCAACGAGAGGCATACACCTAGGCTCTATGTACATAGCAAAAGAAAAATAAGCATGTATGTATATATGAATATGTAAAGGGGGTGGTATCTATAGTATCCAAAGTTATACCGTCCTAGAATAATTATACATGTTCCTACAAAGTCTGGAACATATGCACCGAGAAAATTCTAAGAAAAGCTACTACCCGCTAATGCAAACTACTACTCACATACATGTAGATTCTGTGATGCAAAAAAGAGAACTATATAAATAAAAATGT